GAGGTGTGGGGGGTTGGGACGGGGAGGGATGCAGTTAGGGGCATGGGGGTGGGGCGCTTAGGATTAGGGTTAGGGCACTGCTAGGTGTCTGGTTTACTAGCTGTTTGCTGTGTCCTAGTCCTTCCCATGTAGATGGACAATGGGTCTAAGATACCATAGCCTGTGACACAAACGCTGGTGACTCATATCTCTTTCTTCAGTGCTGTGTGGGGAATTAAGCTTTCAGAACTTCTCATTTAAGCAGATGATTGTCTTCCAGGCAGGACTTAGGGGCCAAACCGTGATAAAATCGGATGCCGACAAATCAAGTATAAACCACTGGATTTATTAGGGGCTTTGTAAATCTTATTTTAAAGCCATGTCAGATGGATGTGATGTATACAAAGTTGAGCTGCAGTATTCCAGATCATCTAAATGACCTTGTAAGCTATCTGATACCATCTGTTGGCAGCATGTACATCTCATCGCTTGTCTCAGAGGGTCCCTTGGACAGCCAGCCGTATTACACTGATTCCAATCTTCGCCCTTCTGCTTTCCCTGCTCACGGGTTTCTTTTGGAGATGGAGCCAGAGAGACCCCACCCATGCAGATACTGGGGTGACTAACAGACTTCCCACGGGACGTTCCTTCGGCCACAGGGAGAACTGGAACTATGTAACACAGGCAAATAAAGACATGAGGAATCCAGCCTGATGCCCCAGCTAACCAAGTCGGCAGTGCCAAACAGAGGATTTTCTCAAGCTTGTTAATGCATTTAAAATAAGCAGATTAACTCGAACAGGGTTTCTGGATGCACCTGACTGGTTACTGTCTAGAAAACCGTACGTTGATGATCATTGCCCTTGGGAATGCGCGCTCGTGAGAGGAGAGTATCTGCCTAGCTAAACGCCGAATAAACCCCAAATCGAGGCAACATTCAGCCCAAATGGCCACGTTTTTCCTAGTTCTGAGGTGAAAGCATGATGGACGCAGAGCCTTTCAGATGTTTCCTGCTTGAAACCATGAATTTCATCTCTTGCTCCCAAAACCTAACTCGGTGCCGGCCCAGAGTGTTATATTGATTTGCTTGATACTTACGCTGCATTCAGCAAAGGCTTGGTAATGTAACGACTGCCATCTTGGTCATCACCAGAGACTGACCCTGAGAACTCCAGAGCGACGCAAATCTGCCTCTACAGCTTGAGCCGAAGAACAAAGTCCTTAGCTGGGAGTTGTGGCAGCTTCACAACCTGCGCAGACCAGGCGTGTGGGGGGGTGGGGGCGGGCAAAGGAGGGGGAATTCATAACAAACACTGATTTGCGGGTTGCCATAGCATCAGAAAACCTTTCATCCAATGAAGCTTGAGTTTCAGGTTTGTATTGCATCCGGGTCTCCCCTTTAGGAAATGATCAGGAGACCCAACATGAGGGAAACAGATACAGCTCTCTGATCCAGACAGCATCCACCATCCACTGGTGGGAACGGGACTGAGCAGAGGGTAACTGAACATGGAGTATTCTAGCTATCCTACCAGGCGAGAGCTGGACGATTCAACTGCACTTAGGGACTGTCCCATGGAACAGATATACACAGCAGCCGAAACAGGCACCATAATGGAAACAAGACCCAGGCACAAACTCGTAAACAAGCTATCATGTTTAATGGGGTTATCCTGTATATTAAAAGAAAATCATTCAATAAATAACCAGGAGGAGCATAGGGAGAGACCTTCCCCAGAGTAGGGTCCTTTACCTCTTCACAAAACACTGAGGATTTTCTTTATAATATTAATTCTTGTCCTACTTAAGGACCCTAATGGTGAAAATTTGGCAAACCCAGTGGTTTTAATGGCTCATTCTTGGCCAATCCAGCCAAATGGGGGACCTGGGGTTGACTGTTTAGACCTGGATTAGACCATAAGAATGTCCAGACTGGGTCAGACCAATGGTCCATCTAGCCCAGTATCCTGCCTTTTGATGGTGGCTGGTGCCAGATGCTTCAGATGGAATGAACAGAACAGGGCAATTTCAAGTCACACTTCCCCTGTCATCCTATCCCAGCTTCTGCCAGTTAGAGGTTTATGGAAACCCACAGCATGAGATTGCATCCCTGACCATCTTGGCTAATAGCCATTGATAGACCTGTCCTCCATGAATTTAGCTAATTCTTTTTTTAACCCAGTTACACTTTTGGCCTTCACAACATCCTGTAGCAATGAGTTCCATAGGTTGACTGTGTGTTGTGTGAAGAAATACTTCCTTTTATTTGAGTTAAACCTGCTGCCTCTAAATTTCATTGGGTGTCTCCTGGTTCTTGTGTTATGCGAAGGAGCAAATAACACTTCCTTATTAACTTTCTCCACACCAGTCAAAATTTTATAAACCTCTATAATATCCCCGCTTAGTTGTCTTTTTTCTAAGCTGAAGAAACCTAGTCTTTTTAATCTCTCATTGTATGGAAACTATTTCATCTCATCGCTAATCACTTTTTTTGTGTGCCTGTCTTTGCACCTCTTCTAATTAGAATGTCTTTTTTGAGATGGGGTGGCCAGAACTACATGCAATATTCAAGGTGTGGGCAAACCATGGATTTATATAGTGGCATTATATTTTCTGTCTTATTATCTATCCTTTTCCTAATGGGTCCTAACATTGTTAGCTTTTTTTGACTGCAGCTGCACATTGAGTGGATGTTTACAGAGAACTTTCCACAATGACTCCAAGATCTCTTTCTTGAGTGGTAACAGCTCATTTAGACACCATCATTTTATATGTATAATTGGGATTATGTTTTCCAGTGTGCATTACTTTGCATTTACCAACACTGAATTTCATCTGCTATTTTGTTGCCCAGTCACCCAGTTTTTTGAGATCCCTTTTTAACTCTTCTCAGGCAGCTTTGGACTTAAATATCTTGAGTAATTTTGTATCGTCTGCAAATGTTGCCATTTCACTCTTTACCCCTTTTTCCAGATAATTTCTGAATATGTTGAATAGGACTGAATCCACCAGATCACCTTTGACCACATGTTTGACCCCCTCAAAGAATTCTAATAGATTGGTGAGGCATGATTTCCCTTTTCAAAAGTCCTATTGACTCTTCCCCAACAAATCACGTTTATCTATGTCTTATAATTTTGTTCTTTACGATAGTTTCAACCTATTTGCCCACTACTGAAGTTAGACTTACCAGCCTGTAATTGCCTCTGGATTGCCTCTGGAGCCTTTTTATAAAATCAGTGTCACATTAACTATCCTTCAATCATCTGGTACAGAGGCAGATTTAAGTGATAGGTTACATACCACAGTTAGTAGTTCCACAATTTCATATCTGAGTTCTTTCATGACTCTTAGGTGAATCCCATCTTGTCCTTGTGACTTATTACTGTTTAATTTATCAATTTGTTCCCAAACCTCCTCTAGAGACACCTCAATCTGGGACAGTTCCTCAGATTTGTCACCTAAAAGGAATAGCTCAGCTATGGGAATCCCCCTCACATCCTTTGCAGTGAAGACAGATGGAAAGAATTAATTTACCTTCTCCGCAATGGCCTTATCGTCCTTGAGTGCTCCTTTAGAACCTCGATCATCCAATGGCCCCACTGACTGTCTGGCCCCCGTCCTGCTTCTGATGTACATACATTTTTTTTATTTCTGTTAGTTTTTGTGTCCTTTGCTAGTTGCTCCTCAGGTTCTTTCTTGGCCTGTCTTATTAGACTTTTACTTGCCAAAGTTTATGCTCCTTTCTATTTTCCTCAGTAGGATCTGACTTCACATTTTTAAAGGCTGCATTTTTGCCTTTAACTGCCTCTTTTTCTCTACTGGTTAGTCATGGTGGCATTTTTTGGCCCTCTTGCTGATTTTCATTTGTTTGTTTTGTTTTTAATTTGGAATATACCTTTAATTTGAGCCTCTATTGTGGTGTTATTAAATAGTCTTCATGCAGTTTGTAAGCGTTTCACCCTTATGACTGTTCCTTTTCATTCTAATTTCCATTTAATTAGTTTCCTCTTTGTTTTGACATTAAATGCTACTGGAGTGGGTTTGTTATGCATTTCCCACATACAAGAACGTTAAATTTAATTACATTATGGTCGCTATTATCGAGTGGCTCAGATAAATTCACCACTTGGACCAGATGCTTTGCTCCACACAGGACTCAATCAAGAATTGCCTCCCCCCTTGTGGGTTCCAGGACAAGCTGCAGAGGGGTGTAGAGATATAGAGTAAATTGTGGGTCTTGCTGTGTCCACCTCCAGGGCTAGAGGAGCACAGTGGCTTCATTAGCTACGCTCCTTGTTGGTCATTCTAAAGCATCCATGACAAACGGGGCAGTGAATGATCACTGATGGCCAAAGAGGCTAAAATCTATTAAAGAATTGTTACCAAAGCGCTGCTCCTAAAACTGGATACTATGTCCCACCCCTCTGCCCGGCGACGCCAGAGATCACATCTCATCACCGCGCAGTACATGTCCTGACCCATGACCCAGAGACAGCTATCCCAGAAATCACATCCCACCCCACCACCCCACAGACCATGTTCCTTCCCCCCGCCCCAGAAACCATGGGCAGAGATCATATCCTCTTGTGCCATCCCAGAGAATGTGTCTCATCCATCGGAGAAGGCCCCATCCCACCACCCTAAAACCCAGAGACCACGGCCCATGTTACCAACGCAGTGGTTACAGTCTTGGAGTGCCACCATCCTGGAGACTTTAGATATTCTGCTTTGGTGGAATTCTAGCACTGATTCCCCGAATCCAAAGGGGAGCATTTTTAACACTTTAAGAGTAGTCTAAATTCACCAATAAAAAGCAAACAGTCCTAGAGGTTTTAACTGGAAGTGAACTGAAACCACACTGAAAATAAAAGGCTTCGTACCCCATGTCGTCGGCCTGGGAGCCACTGGCTTTGTATTCTGGCCTCTCTTAAACACAAGCAGTGTTGAGGAAAGGTGAAATTACGACAATGCTTTGTCCTGCCTCTCATTCCCTTTGTGTTTGTCTCTTCTCCTACCAGCTCACCGTCTACCTTGGGAAGAGGGACTTTGTCGACCACATAGATGTTGTGGATCCCGTTGGTAAGTCAGCGTTCGGTTTGGCTTAGCGCAATGTAACAGGGACTTGGTTGAATTCGCAGGGCAGACATGATGTTACTAGAAAACGCTGCGTGCTGGTAGAAGGTACTTTTGCTTTGTATTAACTCCAAGTACAGCACGTCCAGAACTTTGTTCTTTCGTAACAGGTTTGCTGTACGTTCCAATTAGACATTGGATTTAGAGGTTTTCCACAGGAGCATGTTCCCTCTGCTGCTAATGGGGTTTGTTCCAATGCCAATTTTAAGCATGAGGAGAGAATGTTCTCTCCTCTAACTGCTAAATGACTGGATTCTACGCTCCTGAGATCTAGCCGTATTGTTACGATAGCACCCAAGGGGTCAGGATAATGGCCCCATTGGGCAGGATGGTGGCAGACAGTTCATGCCTCAGAGAACTCACATTATGATGTAAAGGCCAGATGCAAGTGGGTGTAGGTACTGGAAGGGGGATCAGGGTCAGGTTACTAAGAACGTGCTGGCCAGGCATAGTGTCAGGGCGATTAAGTACTATTATTAAACACTTGGATTGCCATAAATAATAAGATCCAGATAAAACAATACAGTAGATGGGAGCAATCCCAGCTGGCTAAAGGCTTCACAAGAGGGTCTTCAGAGGGGTTTGGAAAGAGACAGGACTAGTTCTAGCCATAATGGTGCAGACCCCTAGTGTGGACATGCAGTGCCCGCATACAGAGGGACCTGCAGCTCATGGTGTATACGTCCCCTTTGACCCCGCGTCAGTGTATCAGTGGCCTGGGTTTCCGTCGCTGTGGCTGTATTGTTGTGGCCGCTCAGGCGGGCAGACGCCCGCTGCACACGAGCCCCCAGTGACCAGGCGTGCTCTCGTTTGTCCAAATCGGTGGCAAAACTCCCCTTTACTGTGGTGTCTGCAGGACTGGGCCATCGGTCAGTGCCAAAGTGTGCTTCTGACCCAAACTCGGCAGGCAGAGACACCCAGGTTTGGCGAACGCTTCCTTTTGAACTCCCCTCCGGTTGGGAATGAGCCGGTTTCTGTGTGTCTAGGCCATGCATGTGCCAGGATATCAGTTGCACTAGCTCTGGGGGGAGGTTTATTTTTGTTTCAGGTGTGAAATTCCGAACGCGGTTTCTGATTCAATAAGAGGAGTTCTGGCTGTACATCCCCTGCAGCCTAGTGTCCCCTTTGGAAAACAACAACAACGTTTTGGGTGCAGTGACCATTTTTTAGGAGGATCCCCGTGAGGGCTTGTCGTGTGTGCAGCTCACGTGCATGCGGCGCACTGTCAGGATTACAACACAGCACACAGCCCCCAGGGCTGAAGTGTGCTCCTAGGAGGGTTTGACACAATGGGATTCTGATTTGTGGAGAGGGAACTAGTCCTGCTCCGTTCCCAGCCGAGGTCCCGGGTTACACTGGGAGATCATTTCCCAGGATTTTACTTCGTATTATTTATTATTTGTAGTGAAGTTGCACCCAGAAGCCCCAGCGGAATCATAGAATCAGAGAATATCAGGGTTGGAAGAGACCTCAGGAGGTATCTAGTCCAACCCCCTGCTCAAAGCAGG